TATTTACATGATTTTTGGTCACAACCTTTATAAGGTGACAGCCTTTCCTCCTGCGTGATCTAATGTAATCTACCGACATCGAAGAATGTGAAGAAAACGGTCGCGTTTCATTGTGTTAGAGTAGAAAGGTGTGGCAAATTGTTCAACAGTCGACCAGTAGTCCTTTAGTGTGTCTCTAATGTCATGTCCCATTTGAATGATTATTCCTAGAAACAGAAACATCTCGGATTCAGTTACATCAGGCCGTGGAGATGGTCCGTCTTCAAGTCTGTCTAGGTACTGGTGGTAGTACCTATTCGTCTCTTCCACCAGGAGATGGATAATCCCTGCAAAGTACAGCATGAAAACTCAGAGAGGGGTGGAATCCTTATTCTCATGTGGAGTTGCAGTGATATTTATCCCCGCAGCTACACCGGAATAATTATTCACACCTCTCCAGCCACACTGGTCTGGCGGTCCCCAAGTTGCCGACGAAGGTGATGACCCTTCGTCCGCGGAATCAGAACTCCAACATTCCTCGCCACTCTCAGAATCGGTTGAATAGCACAGTCCGAATCTGTGTCATTGAACAGCTGTTTCTCAATTTCAGCATCTTCCATACGACGTCGTCATGTGGCCATGGTGAATTATATGTCTCTCTAAGAGTGAATGATTTACTGCCAGCACAAAATCTCTCTGTGCTTAGACCATGACCAGAAGTCATAAATCATAACCTCGTGCCCACACATACAAAAATCTCATTCACATCTTGGCTGAACGCAATATCTGCTTCAAACATGCTAGATGATGTCATGTGTGGCTAACCTTATATTGCGATGTTTCAAAATCGTTACAAACACAATGGTTTGACTGCAGTGAATGAACGAATGACCGATCTGGCAACACCATATTCCGAGAATGTACTCCTGTGTCTTACACAGCGAGCGATTTCAGACGCTCACAGTCCTGCATTCCGACATGTCCCATATGATAAATAAGCTTCAACAAGAGATATGTGAGTATGTGATATGTGAGATATGTGTATGTGAGTTTGCCACGAAGGACTTACACTGCTAAAACGCATGGTGTAGAAAATGTATTACACTGCTGGAACGCATGGTGCAGAAAATGTATGAATTTCGGGAATTTTTTTTTTTGGAATCAGTGTAAAAAATTTTTACAGATATTAAAATCTGTAAATTAGAATATCTGATTCTATATTCTTTCTAGATTAAAGGAGTGTTCATTTCGTTCGTTTATCATAAAAAATGTAGAAATCACACCATTTTTAGAAACATGCTTACAATTTCATTGCTCTAGAAGGGCGGGCATTTAAATAAACTCCGTCCAGTTGCCCCTCTCGGAAATTAAATGGCCCATCCGATAAAGGTTAATAACACTTTTATGTGAATTTTCTGCGCCTTTTACAGATTGTGATAAAGCTAGATATGGGATACTTGTATTATACAAGATTTGTTCATGTTAGTTCATTTAAGGCAGATTTTGTAAGGAACTTAAGTGTTCCTATACATTTAACTTTCAAATTATAGATTTTTACTCGGCTTAATATTGTCACATGATAGAGTGACTGTAGATGGGTTTTGAATTGATGATCTAATTTACTGGTCTCTTTGATAAAAGAATGTGTCTGCACTTTACAGTTCACTATTACACACACACATGAGTCACATCTTCACTGCTGTTGGAAGGTAGTGGCTTCCAATGGTGGGCGTTTCCCTTCTTCTGGGTTTATGAACTCTTCCTGGCTTCATGTACCAGCTTCTAACACCAGCAGCTTGCCACAGCTGAACTCATCTCATCTCTTTATATAGCTCTGGCACTGACCGCATAGAAAACACCATTCCTCTGTTGCAGTGCAATTGTTGCTTAGCAGTGGCATAACATTCCATTCTTGCTTGCACAGCCATCAGCACAAGCCACAGAAAACATCACTCCTCTGTCATTGATTATGGGCTGCCACCTAATAATGGCCAGATGTTGTGACTCCACAGTTCTTGCTTTGAGTGAATATGCCACAGTATAAAGCACTTGCATTATACAAATATTACCATGTCTAAGTTTCATTCACATTAGTCAATTTGAAAGTTCTGACTGAAATTTACACCTTTCAGCTCCTTTTGCAGATACTGATGTAGCTAGATACTTAAATTTTTAAATTATATGTCTTTCACTGTGCTTGTCACATGTTCTTGGCCATTTATCTTCCACCCCTTTCATTCTGTTTTAACTGGCATTAACAGACATTTTCTATCATGATTATTTAAAACAGTTTTTTACTTCTGTTGCAGTGAAGAAAGAACTGTCTCAGGAATCTTTACATCATTTGCGATGGATGCTCCAGAAGGATCTTTTAGGTCAAGACATTTTCCTAATTGGTAGACCTGGTCCTCTTCGTCGTCAGCTAGCAATGCAGTATCTTGAAATGACGGGCCGTGAACTGGAGTATTTGGCCCTATCACGAGATACCACAGAAGCTGACCTGAAACAGCGCAGAGAAATACAAAATGGAACTGCAGAGTATTTTGATCAGGTAATGTGTAATGTCAGATTTTAGGATTTATTTTCAGTCTAGAGAAGGTGATTGCAGTGTGTGCTGAAATTTTGGAACAGCTTCAGTATACAATGTGGCTAAGGCCTGAAAGCGAAATTCACACATAATACATAGGCAGCAAAAGCCTAAAGACAAAAATAACTAATAATTTATCCATTCATTGTATCATACCAATAAGAAATTTGAAGAAAAGAAAGCTGTGACCAATCCAGTGAAGCAAGGTAAAGTTGTCTCTTTGCTTAACTAATTAACCATTACGCCATGAAGATATATGGGGGCCGATATTTGATCCTGGGTCTGGTGAAGTGGGATTTGTGGCGGACAAAGTGGCGCTGGGACAGGTTTTCTCCGAGTACTTCGGTTTCCCCTGCCAATCTTCATTCACACCAGTTGCTCCACAATCACCCTCACCTATCATCTGAGGCTGGTATGGTAGGCCAGAAGTGGCAGCAGAACAAGGAGACTTAGTCCCACCCCACTAGCAATAAAAAAGAATGGGTTCACATTCACATTCTCTTGGCCTTGGCACTAGTTGAAGATGAGTTGGCAGCTTCACTCCCCAGCCACTTTACCCCCAGGTAAAGAGCCTATGGTACCCATTGTATAGGAGGCTGGGTGGTCATCAGAGCCAGTCTGGACAACGTGGAGAAGAGAAATTCTTGACCCTACTGCAGTGGTTCTCAAACTTTTTACCTCTGAGGCCCCTCTGACAAGAGAAAATACTTTCAGGCCCCCAGCCTGTTTTTTTTTAATCAAAATTGAAGTCATGGTATAGTTGACGTTTTAATCAGTTTATTTTGTGTTATTCTACATACTAAATGATACAAACTCCGTCCCAAGTGCAAACAATATATATTATATGTCTCTGATCTTGTTCTCTTCCACACTACATGTTTCGGCCTCTATCGGCCATCATCAGGTGTATACTCTTAACGTTGCTGCCACACTGAACCCAGTCTAAAATTTAACATTTAAAAACACATTGTTATTTTCTTCGTATTATCAACATCTACCTCGTTGATATGTGTCTGGTATGTAGATTATATTGCACACGTCAAATTTGATTTTCCTGTAGTAGCACTATAAAATCTTTAGTTATGATTTTAAAATCCTTTAAAATTTCTCTAAATTTTAAATTTAAAATTTAAAATTGTTAGGGTTACTCGCCCTATGTCTAAAGTGCTGGAGCGGCTAGTTCTTGTTTCCACACTGTACAGGTGTTATTCAGTGTAGTCTTCCTGTGTGCGTGCCGCTGCTTGTCTTTACTACGTGTGCTGTGTTTTATGTTAGTGAGTGTAGGGGGCAAATGGGTAGTGGGGAGAGAGAGGTACCGTTAGTCTGTGTAGATTTCATGTATCGTTTGAAATATGGGATTGTGTATTTCTATGTGTGTATCATTCATGTGTAGGCCTTTCTTACTTATTTTATATATATGGTATTTCTCTAATGTATTCAAACGTCTGCCCTTCTTTCCCGTTGTTACAACTTCCATTACTTCTGTTATTGTTCCGTATGCATGTCCTGTATTTAGTATGTGATTTGAGTACCCAGAATTGCTATCATTATTTCTAATATCATG